AAAAAAAAAAAAAAAAAAAATCGAGGCCTACTTCAGTAAATATTGTCATGACTAACTAAATAACAAATGGGATATAGAAAGAGAGGTAACTTTCACAATCTTGCTGAATGATTAGGCATCCACTGATAACATTAATTCAATAGAAAGAAACCTACTGAAAAACATAAACCTTCATATTGGAAGTCAATATAACATTAAAAGGAGATACACTGTTCTTTATTCTGTACATGAAGAAACTATATAATGAATCAGAAGATACTTTCACAAAGGCCTCAGATAGAAAGCAAAATATAATGGAGGACATAGCACACCAGATTTGGGGATATTCCACGAGCAACAGCCGAAGCTCCTATAGTGTATTCCAACATCAATGCCCAACCAATCAACCAAGCAAAGCTGTATAAAAAAATAACAAAGATAATAATCTAAAGAGCACTGGAATAATTTATATTATGCATCCATTAAACTGAGAAAAATCAAGAACCAGGACTGGTGAGATCTACTATCAGCATCAAAGTTAACCCAAATATCTAACTGAGTACTTTGTCTCCTACCATAACTCATTAAAATTGCATCACAAAGTTCATGTGAGATATTTATTAAAAAAATCTTCAGAATGCAATTGACATATTTACACAAAAGTCATGCACATTTCAGGTAGATAATAAAAGTATAACTGTATAACCAAGGGCTAACCTGATCTGAGCGGATTATGGGCATTACTCCATACAATCATCGACTTTATTTAGATTAAGGATTCTAAATCTATATTAACAAATCCACTGAGTTTTGTTTAGATACAATTGATTTTAGATCCTTAAATTCTTAATACGAGCTACTATTTGAACATTTTGGGGAACTCCAAACCAGATCCTATCCCCCAACCAAAATCCCCAAACCAAAATGCAACCTCAATTTTGCTACGAGGCTAAGAAGGTTAAAAATACTATTCATTAAAATAATACTAGCATGCTGCTTAAGGAAGATACAATGCTAATTACTGAAAAACAAAAACAAAATCAATATATATATATATAGATAGATAGATAGATAGAGAGAGAGAGAGAGAGAGAGAGAGAGAGAGAGAGAGAGAGATTAGATATATGTATTACACTTCTCCAATGCAAATGTAAGAATAATGATATGCACTCCCAGCCGAAGGACAACGACTTGCTAGCTCAGCATAGCAAAATGCAGATAGGCCAGCTGCTACTCCAGCTATCAGAAAAGAAAGGGTCAGACCTGGCCCTGAATGCTCTCTAGCAACTGTACCAACCAGAATATAAACCCCAGAACCAATAGTTGCACCAACTCCTACAAGATCAAACAATATCCACATTCCACTGAAACAATTGTAGGACAAAAGAACTCCATAAATTAGATATAATTTAACTTCCCGAAAAACTTCGGGCATCGAAACTAAATCACAAGTTATTAATCACTATCACACTATATACATACACAAACTCTATTGTAAGGCATCTAACGGTCGGGCGGGCCGACCTGTCATCACACAAGTTGAACAAAAAAGACAGAACCAACGAATTATTATATTATAACTCAACTCCAAAAGAAATCATATGAATGTACTATTGAACGAAATTAAAACAACTCAGTAAGACAGGAATACTTTGTTGGAATATCACTTGTGAGTTGTCCCACATTGATTCTATAGGGTAAATGAGCCTAGTTTATAAGCCTAGTAGGCTACTCCTCTCCCATCACCAATCCGTTTTGGAATGGAACATTACTAAGGTGCATCTAGGTTCACCCTCTTATGGTGCGTTTCACCTGATGGGACCGCACCCTATTCTCCCGTTTCTTAAGTACTTCAAATATAACACCAACAACCAAAAAATGAAGAAACAGAATCAATAACGATTGGAAATACACATTCTTCCCGCTGAACTATGCAATACTCTGCACTTTGGCCCCTCGACGAAGCAAATGTTTGTGTTAGCTGAAATATACATTCTTCCATTCGTTGACGAGCAAGATTGACATTCAAAGTACGCACTAAAAAGAAATTTAAAATAAAAAACAGAAAAAAAGGCATAGAATCAAAAGAAAATGTACTTTTTTTGTACCTATTGCAATGAGATGAGGTGCGGTCAAAGCCTTGGCTAGCTGGTGTTGGACATTTCCAGAGGAAGGGGAAGATCTGGTGTGCTTAGAATCAACCTGTTTTCTCCTCACAAGATTTCTCAAGCTACAATCAGAAGAATTTTCGCGAGCTCCACAGCCATTTTTTTCAGTGTCAGAGAAAATTCCCATGACATGCCCACAAATTATCTCGCTTACTTTCAAATTTTGAGAAAATTATCACAATAGGAAGAGAAAAAAGTAGTAACTCGAATCTGATAGAAAATCTTCTCAAGTTGCAATATTTGGACTACACGAACATAACGAATGAGGAGTAACGAGTGAATGTATACCATTCGCACGTCTACGTTCAATGTTCAATGTTTTTT